TTGTAGGAGACAATTCATTTAAAAAATCTCTACCCCTGGCTGGCATGGCTCAGTGGTTAGAGTGCACCAAAGGGTCTCGGGTTCGATTCCTGGTCAAGGGCACCTACCTCGGTGCAGGTTTGAACCCCAGTACAATCAGGGTCCATGCAGGAGGCAAACCAATCGATATGTCTCTCTCACATTGATGTCTCTGTTTCTCTCTCTTCTCTCCTCTCTCTCTCCCTCTCAACCCTCCCCCCTACTCTCTATAATAAAAAAGGAAAAAATATCTTTGGATGAGGATTAACAAAAAAGTAAATTTAAGAGATGTACAAACTTTTCCAGGTGCACAATGAGAAAACCAGATCCTTCTGGCTGGGAAGCAAGGAAAGTTTCCACCAAGAAACATTTGAGCTAACCCTTAAAAAATTAACCAAACTGGCCGAAACCAGTTTGGCTCAGTGGTAGAGCATCGGTCTGCGGACTGAAAGGTCCCAGGTTCGACTCTGGTCAAGGGCATGTACCTTGGTTGCGGGCACATCCCCGGTGGGGAGTGTGCAGGAGGCAGCTGGTCGATGTTTCTCTCTCATCGATGTTTCTCTCTCACCGACATTTCTGGCTCTCTATCTCTCTCCCTTTCTCTCTGTAAAAAATCAATAAAATATATATTTTTTTTAATTTAAAAAAAAAATTTTAACCAAACTGGCAAAATGTTAATGGTTGAAGCTGGGTGATTTTTATACTACTTCAATATTTTTGTACATTTGAAATTTTCCTTCATAAAATTTTTTTTAAGAGTTGGGAGAACATTTCAGGGAAAATAAATAGCTCAGGACAATGTGTTTGAGGAAAGATAGTAACTTTGAAATGAAAACAAGCTATACTTATGTAAAGGAATCCAGCTGGGGTGAGGGCAGAAAGGAATCTGCTTAAGGAAACCTGCCTTAACCTCTCCCCCAGCTACCTAACTTTAGACTGCTTATGTGTGAGGCACTCATGAAGAATTAGCCACACATTAAACAAACAATAGGGTTCACCCTAGAGAAAGATGAATCATTTCAAAATAAATTCTGTTGTCAAATGGAAAACAAATAGGTCGCCGGATGGAGCGTCCGGCTGCGGACTGAAGGGTCCCAGGTTCAATTCCGGCCAAGGGCACATGCCTGGGTTGTGGGCTTGATCCCCAGTAGGGGGCGTGCAGGAGGCAGCCAATCAATGATTCTCATCGTTGATGTTCCTATCTCTCCCTCCCTCTCCCTTCCACTCTGAAATCAATAAAAATATTTTTTTAAAAACAAACAACAAAAAAATGCATTCTTTTAGTACACCATTAATTCCTGAAGCAGAAATTAATGCCCACTTTTAACCATTCAGTAAATATTACCTAGAAAATATACCACATGAGAAACTATTGTTTAAAATAATGTCTTCAAATTCTTTAATACATGGTAGAGAAAACAATTGCAGAAATGCCAGAATTTTAGCTGGAGCTCATTCTGAAACTTCATATATTACTTAACTCAGCTTTAAGTCAGGCATGCTTCCTTCAAATCTAAATGCTGAAAACGAACACGTCAAGCCTGGTGCATGTAAGTGGCTCTGGCTCCTCCATACCCTACTGCCCTCTTTAGTGGCACACCATTAATACTTCAGTATATAGCATTACCGTCTCTTTACTAGCCCAATAGAAACAGTTGCTAGAAAGCAATGACACAGTATCGGATACAGTCACTGATATGGTGCCTGGGCCCAGGAGAGGGGGAGGGCTGCATCTCTGGGTTCCAGCCAGCAGAGGCCATCCATCTGAAGAATCATAAATATTCTCCCCCCGAAATAGAGGCGAATGTCACAGCAAGGTAGCTGGAGAGGGGTGTGACATCCCACCTCACCCATTTCCCTGATTTTTCTCCTTTTTTAGCAAAGGCACTTCTGGCAACAAAATGCACTGTTAGGACAAACCCCTTTGTTTAGATATTTTATTACGCTTCTCTCTAACTGGTCGTGTTTTCTAAATGTTCTATGCCTCCCCAACTAAAAGTCACACTTTTTTAAAAAATATATATTTTATTGATTTTTGTACAGAGAGTAAGGGAGAGAGATAGAGTTAGAAACATCGATGAGAGAGTCGTCGATCAGCTGCCTCTTGCACACCCCCTACTGGGGATGTGCCCGCAACCAAGGTACATGCTCTTGACCGGAATCGAACCCAAGACCTTTCAGTCCCCAAGCCGACGCTCTATCCACTGAGCCAAACCGGTTTCGGCTAAAAGCCACACTTTTTAAAAGTCACCAGCAAAACTGTAACGAAAACCAACAGCCTTTTCCAATCTGGAATCTGCTAACTTTTTCATCCCGCCACCTTATTAATGTACCCTGAGCTTCATTTCTGTGTATGTGCTCCGAAGTCCTTTGGAATGCCAGACAAATCTTGAGGGCAGATGCCATGCTCAAGCCAAGAAACACTTGAGGAGCCCCTGTGTGGAGGTAAGACCAATAGAAAAGATCAATGGCTTACGGTCCCAGTGGCTTACTCTTTTTGCATATCCACCAGGCTTTTCCACTCTAGGTGGTCAATAAATCCCTTAATTTAAGATTGATTTAACCAGTTATTTTGAATTTAATTTAAAAAGGTCTGCCACTTATGTCTACAGACACTGGCGTGCAAATGGTTAAGCAGCTTATTAACCAGAAAAGTCCACGCAGAGTAAAGACAGCTCTGGCTAAAGCAGGGAAAAGAAGATGTGTGAAATGTTCACAAACCAAGTACTTTCAGAGAAAAAGGCGTTTAAACTCCTCATTCTGTTTTGGGAGAATAAATGCATTTTGAGTTTTGTTGTTTTCGCTCCCACTTTTCCCTGCTATTCCTTTCATTTTTATGAACTGAGCCCATAGCACTTAAAAAAAAAGAAAGAAAATCTGCCTTGAGCCCTGGCCAGGGAGCTCAGTAGGATAGAGCAATCATCCTCATATACCAAAGTTGTGGGTTCGATCCCCGGTCAGAGCACATCCAAGAATCAACCAATGCAACGAGCCTCTAGTATTTAAATAAGTTTAAATTATTTCATAAAAATTAAATTTATTTTAATAAATTTGTTACAATTAAAAAAAAAAGAATCAACCAATGAATGCATAAATAAGTGGGACAACAAATCGATGTTTCTCTCTCTCCCCCCTCCCTCCCTCCCTTCTACCCACCCACCCTCTCTTCTTCCCTCCCTTTCTCCACCCTCTACTCCTTCCTCTTTCTCTAAAAAATAAATAACATTTTAATATGCCTTGGAAAGAAAAAGGCCAATTACTTTCAGATGGTTGAAATTGGAATGGTGGTTATTTCTTCTAGAGAAGTTGGAAATCCTTTGTTCCGTGAAAGGAACGTCATTGAGAAGAAACGGGGAGACTGGGTTTGCAGGCAGGGCACTCATTCTCAGTTACAGTAGGAGGGAAAGGTCATCCTCTAGGGAGGAGGGAGGCAGGGTGAGGAAGAGGTTTGAAGGCTTTTAAGATTTCAGTGATCCTTTTAGGCGAGCCAAGGCAGAGTTCAAGGCAAACAAAAGAAAGTAAAGACCCATCCCCTTAGCAAATGGATTAGAAAGAAAAAAAAGTTAGAAATGCAACGGCTCCTATTGCCACTAACTGATCGGTGTCCCGTATGACCAGTCCGTTAAAACACAGAACTAGAAAGGAGCCTTTTCAGGGGACTGTGCTAGAACTACACCAGTGAAACGTCTCTCCTATGAAAGCACAGGAAGTATTTCTTAGAAACAAGCAAAGGAGCCTGCGCATCCCCGTCTTGTAGTTGTTTCTAGTGTTCCTAACGAAGCCGGCTGTAAAAAACAAAAACCAAACAGGGCGGCCGGGAACGATGTGTAGATCAGAGGCGGGGGAGGGGAGGCCATGAAACACGATCTGCCCAAGACTGAGGCCCCAAGTGAAGACGATGCGCATCTGGTGTTTGTCCAACAGTAATGACTTCAAGGCGCTGGGCAGGGAGAGGGAAAGGAATGGCTGTGGTGAAGCTCTCCCCTTAAACTCCTCAGAAACAATGCCACCACCTCTCCCGCTCCCCACCCCCCCAGACACACACAATCAGACATGAGGGGAAGTGGCCAAGTCGCCGGCAGAAGTGTGCCAAAGCCTCTGCAAAGGCGCCACACCCCAAAGCCACCTACAGGAGCCCCCGATGGAGAAGTCCCGGGCACATCAGCTTCCGGACGCAGGAATCCCGGCGACGATGTCAGAGTGCACGCAGGTGCTCCGGAGCGAACCGTCCATCAACCTGGCCACGGCAGGTGATCTCACAGGCCTCCATCCGGGGGCCCCACCCGCGGCCAGGCCCGGACAGGCCCTCCAGCAGGTCTCTTAACCAGACGCAGGGCGCCTGCCCAGGGCTGCACCCCAAACTGCACCCCAAGCGGACCGAGCGCGGACCCCGCAAAGCGCGGCCTCGCAGAGGGGCCGGGAGCCCCCGATGGAGGCGCCGGGGACCCTTCCCTCCCGGCTACGCAGGCAACACACAGCGTCGTCGAAGCCAGGCTGCCCGTCCTCAGACCCGCTCCTCGTCGTTCCGTTTGGGAGAAAAAATCCAGGGAGCAGGGAGGGGGCCGGAGGGTGAGGGCTGCTTTCCGACCAAGGAAGTACCAAAAAGAGCTGAAACCTGGTAATTTCCAGAACTTTCCCACCAAAACACAACACCCTCACTTCCCTCCTCCTCCCCCTCGGCCCGCGCCGCCTCCGCCCGGCCCGGCCCGGCCCGGCCCCGCTGCCCAGATCCTGGCCAAGAACCACCTCCCCATCCCTCCCCACCCCCGCCGCCCGGATTCCCGGACACAGTCCTCCCCCAACCCTCCCCCCCCGACCCCGCAGGGAGGGCGCCCGCAAAAGCAGCTCCCCTGGGGCCCGGCCGCCCCGCCTCGCACCCCGATTGCAGCGCCCCCAGCCCAGTGCGCACTCTCCCGCCGGGCGCCCGGCCTCCCGCCCCGCCGCCCGGCCCGGGCCTCCGCCCGCGGCCCGCCCGTCCTCACCATGTACCAGGTCCCCAGGATGATCGTCCCGGTGCGGACATGGCAACAGCCGCAGCACCGGGTGCTGTAGAACCGGTCGCCGCGGCTCCGCTTGAAAGTCATGGACACCATTGGGGGAGTCTCGCGGGGGCCTCGTTCTCGGCCGGGACCCGGACAAAAGCTTTCCGCTCAACGGATGAGCCCGGCTGAGCTCCGTCCGTCCCCGTGTCGTCCGACACCCAACGACGCGTCTTCAAGCCCGGCCCCGCCCCGGCCCCGCCCCGGCCCCGCCCCAGCCCGCGCCTGCGCGCCTGCGCGCCGAGGCCCGGCGCCGCCCCCGCGCGACCTCGGCGGACACCCCCTCCTTTCCCGCCTCCCCGCCTCCCCGCGGGCCAATAGGAGAGCGGGAAGCTCGGCGGACGCGGCCTCTGATTGGATCAACTTGGAAAGTGACGAGACGTCACGCCCAAACAGAAGTGCAACTCGCCTCCGCTCTCGAGGGAGGGTGAGGGCTGGCCGGCTCCGAGGCCCGGGGTAGCTGGTAGCCCCGCAGGTTGCCATCTCCGAGGCGCGAGCGGCAAGAGGAGAAAAAGGCATTTAATTAGGAAAAGGGAGCGACGGCGTGGGGAGCTGGCAGGAAGGGTCGAAGGACTTTTCGGAGTGACGTCATTGCCACGTACTGCTTCGGAAGCGTCGCGGGAGGGCGGCCGCTCACGTGACCTTGGCGCGCTGCCATTATTGGGCGGGCCGGGGCGGTGCCGCGGGGTGTGGGCGGGGCTAAACCCCGAGCGTGAGCCCGCCCCCCCCCCTCCCCCCCAGTCCCTCTCCCTGAGCCTGGGTGCTGGGAGCGAAGAAACACCATGGAAACCTGCCAAAGGCAACTCGGAGGCCAGAGGATGGAGATGAATGAGGACAATACAGCAGAGATAGAAAGAGAGAGAACTGCTTAGGTGTTGGACGTTTGCAGAGCATCAGAGTGATTTTTATGGGAAAATTGTAAACACGTGGAAATAGACCAAAAGTTCACTAGGTGTCCTCTCTCCTGGTTCACCTTCCGGGGATTCTGATTCTCAGGGGGCTCTCCATCTTTGTGGAGCTCTGCAACTCTAAATTGTAGGTAACTGACAGCAAAACAAAATTATTTTGTCCATTCAACTTCATATTGAGTCGTCCCCCCTCCTTGGAAAAAGCCGTGTTGCATCTATTTGAAAATTCATTTCCTATTCCTGACTCAATAATTATAAGTGAGTACTTAAATTCTGCTTTAACCTGGTTCTAACATCTTACTTGTCTCCTTAATGAGTAAATAAAACATTTGACACTTGTTGATTTTGTTTCCAAGGGATTTTTGATTCTTTCCCTTTAAAAAAAAAAAAAATACTGCCAGTGTGGCTCAGTTGGTTGAGCATCCTTCCTGCATCAGTGAACCAACATTTCCCAGGTAACCAATGCACAAAGTTTCAAAACCATGCATAGGAAAAGAGCCAGTCATTGTTAATGTAACTATGACAAGGTCATTGATATGGTTTCATAGTCTACATTGTAACTGAACTTTAGGGAGCTACTACTCACCAAATTTTAGTATAGAATCAAAGAATAGCCACGAATATCTAAAAGGGCTATTAAGTCCTGGCCAATTTGGCTCAGTGGATGGAGCATCAGCCTGTGGACTCAGGGGTCCCGGGTCCAATTCAGATCAGGGGGCATGTGCCTTGGTTGCGGGCATATCCCCCATGGGGGGTGTTCAGGAGGCAACTGATTGATGTTTCTCTCTCATCAATATTTCTAGCTCTCCCTCTCCCTCTCTGTAAAAAAATTAATAAAATATATTTTTAAAGACAAATAAAAAGGCTATTAAAATACTCCTTTTTCCAGGTACATGTGTGTGCTACTGAATTTTCTTTGTATATTTCAACTAAAAGAACATATCACAGATTGCATGCAAAAGCACATGTGAGAATCGAGCTATTATTGTTATCCAGCCAAACATTAAAGAGATTTTCATAGAAATATAAAATAATGTCACTCTCCTCATTCCTCTTGTAAATTTTAGAAAATATAGTTATTTTCCATAAGATTATTTTATGTTAACCTATCATGGATTATTGTTATTTTTAAATCAATTCATAGATATTTTAAATCATCTCAATTTTAATTTCTAGTATGGTAACTCTCAATAGCAATAACCCATATAAATAAAAGCTCTTGGTGTCCTCTATGACTTTTAGAAGTGTGAAGGGTTCTGAGACCAACAGGTTTGAGTATCAGTAACCTAATCCTTCTCACCACCACAGTGGACAATGGTTACTGACATTTGAAGTGGGGGCTTGGAGGTACTAAGAGCTGCCCTCGGATTATTTTTGAACAGAAGAGGAAAGTAAATTTAGGGTTCTCAAAATGCTTAATAGTGCGGGTTTACACAACTCTCACATTAACAGCTTGGATACCTGGCTAGTTAGCATTTGCCTGGACAAGAAGCTTGTCTGAATCTGTTTTTCCACCTGTAAAATGGAAATGAGATCTGCTTCCTAATGAAGCTTTAATTTCTTTGCTCTGATGAAAGCAGAGGCAATCACGCCTTGAATATTCCTACCACGATTTCCTTATTCATCTCCAGTCCCTCAAGGTATCTCTTGTCTGCTAACATTGGTAATTATCTCCTTTAGCCAAATTAAACATGAGGTTTCTATTTTTAATTGCTCCAAGGTATTGAAAGGAATAATTGGTAAGTGCTGCCCAAGTATCTTGAAGATGAAAAGTACTATGTAATTATCACCGTGGGAAAATTACTTTCCACGCACTTGGCTAAAATCACCACTTGGGCTGTGGGATTACATTTTAACCATAAGGACTCCTGGCGTGCACACAGCAAGTTTAGCATCTTTCTGTTTCTTCTCCTTTAAATCTTACAGAAGCATCGAGAAGAATGCCAAATCAGTGAATTTGATGTTCCGCAAAACGAGCGGATACCCATGGCCTTCAAAATACAAATCAGGGCTGCCAAGAGCAGCTGAGATTAGACAAAAGCCATAGAGGAGGAAGTGAGGGAGAGACAAGCCCACGCAGAGTTTAAAACACACCAACAAGCCCGTTTCCCCAGGCCCGCTAACAAACTATCATCCAAAGGGCCCGCGTCCTCGTAAAAAAAAAAAGGGGGGGGGGGGTTGGACACTGACACGTGCACAGGGAGAACGCTGTGTGAAGATGAAGGCAGAGATAAAGGCGGGGCTTGGACGGTCCAAGAGCTGCCCTCAGATTATTTTTTAACAGGAGAGGACAGCGAGTTTAAAGTTTTCAAAATGCTTAACACTCTGGGTGGATACAACGCTCACATTAACGACCGACCACACCCTGGCAGAACCAGACAGAACAGCCCCATGGCTGACATTAGGACCAGATGCAATGACCAACTGCCCCCCTACCCTAGTGCTAACCATCGCATAACCACACCCCTAGCTCCACCGTGACTGATGGAGCTAGGGGTGTGGTTAGAGCCCATCCCCAGGAAGCCGTCAGGGGCCAGGTCGTTGAGCATGAGCTCACCTGTGACTCGGTGCAGCACCGTTTTCTCAGCTGCAAAGCCCTGTGTATTGGCCTTTGATGAGCGCAGGTGAACCGGCTCCCTGAGTTTAAGAGCAGCATGGGCAGGGCTGGTTCCTTCCGAGAGCCGCGAGAGGGCATCGGTGCCAGGCCTCTGGCCTCGCTGCTAGTGATTTGCTGGCAATCTTTGGCATTCCTTGGCTTGTAGAAGCCCCACCTCGATCTCTGCCTTCATCTTCACCTGGCGTTCTCCCTGTGTGCATGTCAAGTGCCCAAATTCCCCTTTTTGTAAAGATGCGGGGCCCTTTGGATGAGGACACGTCCCGATGGCTTCTGCTTTCCCTAGAGCAGTGGTCGGCAAACTCATTATCCACAGAGCCAAAGATCAACAGGACAATGATTGACATTTCTTTTGAGAGCCACATTTTTTAAACTTAAACTATATAGGTAAGTACATTGTTATTAACTTCATGAGGGTACTCCGAAGCTGGCCTTTGCTAAAAACTCAAGGAGCCAAAGAGCTGCATGTCTGCTGACCACTGCCCTATAGTGCAGAAAGAATTTATTTATCTCATTAAAAAAAATCTCAATGGTGCCTTTACCTAAAAATCCAACTTTTTCATTCAAGGAGTTGCAAACAGCATTTAAATAAAAACTTTCCATGGCTTTTAGGTTGACAGTTTGAAAACTCTCCGGTTTCCCGAGGGAACCTATCAAAACGTTTTAAAGGCATAAACTTTATAATTGATGGGTCTACTGGTCTGCTGGGAGGACAGCTCTCTCCGCTCCGACCCACAGCTGAAGCGGGGAGCCATGCGGGTGCCAACTAAGTCCTGCACCAGCGGCTGGAAGAGGAGTTGCCATAACTCAGGGTGAAAACCTTATGTGTCATTATCTCACACAACTTTACTCCTTCAAGAGCGAAAAAACAAAACAACCAAAAGCTTTCCCCATCGCTTTTAAAATGTCCTGAGCCACCCGCTCCCAGAAACTCCTTCCTTCCTGAAGGAAAATGGAGAACGAAGGGTTCCCCTGGTGCCTGGCTGGCTGGGCGCCCGGGCTCGGGCTGTCACAGGCCCCGAAAACAAAGGGAAATCCCAGCCAAGTCCTCCCGGGCCTGAGCATCACGAGGGGCCTCTTCTTAACTTAGCTCACTCCATCGGCAGTGGCTCTCTTTCTTTCTTCTTTTCTTTTCTGGATTTTAAAAAATATTATTTCATTCATTTCAGAGAGGAAAGGAGAGGGAGAGAGATAGAAACATCCTTGAGGAGAGAGAATCAGGGATCAGCTGCCTCAGGTGATGGGGAAAGCTGATCAATGACTCTCTCTCAACAAGATGTTTCTCTCTCTCTGTCCCTCTCCCTTCCTCTCTGAAATCAATAAAAATATGTTGTCACCCTAACCGATTTGGCTCAGTGGATAGAGTGTCAGCCTGCGGACTGAAAGGTCCCAGGTTCGATTCCAGTCAAGGGCATGTACCTTGGCTATAGGCACATCCCCAGTAAGGAGTGTGCAAGAGGCGACTGAATTGATGTTTCTTTCTCATCGGTGTTTCTAACTCTCTATCCCTCTCCTTTCCTCTCTGTAAAGAATCAATAAAATATATATATTTTTAAATATGTTGCATCACTTGCCGCCAGGTCCTCACGGCCCTGAGTCCACCTGCTGGAGTGGACCAGACAGGAAACGGACAAGATGCTGAGGGAACCAGGGCCCAGCCAGCCTCTAAGCTCCCACCTGG